CCTGTGTTTGGCTTTAGTGAAAACCTCAGTTAGCTCATTAGTCCTGAGAGAGACTCCTTCTCTCTCCACAAAGCTGATTGCTAAAAGTTCCCACGAGATCTATTCTGCCAAAGACCTGTCCTTACTGTCATACAAGTCTATCAGTCATGGTGTGACCTCAGAGGGAGGGCTGGAGGAGAGGTGAGCGGAGAACACTTTCAATTACTGCCCATAAAGAATAACACTATTCCCCGACTGCTCCGGGAGAGCAGCGCTAGAAAAATATTCGTATTAAGGAAGCTAACTGGCATTAGGGCAAGGCGGGGAAGACCAGAATGGGATTTTTGCTGACATAAGCAATGTTTCGGAACATCTAAGCATTGTAGAAGACACGTTTGTATCAATTATTCCGCATAGAAAGCAAAGAATTCATAGCGGGTTACCCGTTGTGACATAACGTGCCGCTTTGTCACCCAGATGTTTAGTTTTCACTATGAAATGCAAAAGGTGGTCATTATTAAAGAATAACTCCGGGAAACTAGGGAAATTATTTTTGGAGCTAGTAATGCTATAAAGAAATCATTGCTGCTGTGCAGTCTGAATTTTTGCCATATTCACCTGTAATCTGAGTTTTTCCATATAGCAGAGGACTACTGATTGGTCCTGTGATGGACACCAGAAGGTACAGAGCATAATCTGCCTGCGACACAGCAGGGGACTACTGATTGGTCCTGTGATGGACACCAGAAGGTACAGAGCATAATCTGCCTGCGACACAGCAGTGGACTACTGATTGGTCCTGTGATGGACACCAGAAGGTACAGAGCATAATCTGCCTGCGACACAGCAGTGGACTACTGATTGGTCCTGTGATGGACACCAGAAGGTACAGAGCATAATCTGCCTGCGACACAGCAGTGGACTACTGATTGGTCCTGTGATGGACACCAGAAGGTACAGAGCATAATCTGCCGGCGACACAGCAGTGGACTACTGATTGGTCCTGTGATGGACACCAGAAGGTACAGAGCATAATCTGCCTGCGACACAGCAGATGACTACTGATTGGTCCTTGGACATCAGAAGGTACAGAGCATAATCTGCCTGCGACACAGCAGATGACTACTGATTGGTCCTGTGATGGACACCAGAAGGTACAGAGCATAATCTGCCTGCGACACAGCAGTGGACTACTGATTGGTCCTGTGATGGACACCAGAAGGTACAGAGCATAATCGGCCTGCGACACAGCAGATGACTACTGATTGGTCCAGTGATGGACACCAGAAGGTACAGAGCATAATCTGCCTGCGACACAGCAGAGGACTACTGATTGGTCCGTGACGGACGTCAGAAGGTACAGAACATAATCTGCCTGCGACACAGCAGTGAACTACTGATTGGTCCTGTGATGGACACCAGAAGGTACAGAGCATAATCTGCCTGGGACACTGCAGATGACTACTGATAGGTCCTGACATGGACACCAGAAGGTACAGAGCATAATCTGCCTGCGACACTGCAGGGGAATACTGATTGGTCCTGTGATGGACACCAGAAGGTACAGAGCATAATCTGCCTGCGACACAGCAGATGACTACTGATTGGTCCTGTGATGGACACCAGAAGGTACAGAGCATAATCTGCCTGCGACACAGCAGTGGACTACTGATTGGTCCTGTGATGGACACCAGAAGGTACAGAGCATAATCTGCCTGCGACACAGCAGTGGACTGCTGATTGGTCCTGTGATGGACACCAGAAGGTACAGAGCATAATCTGCCTGCGACACAGCAGTGGACAGTTGATTGGTCCTGCGATGCACACCAGAAGGTACAGAGCATAATCTGCCTGTGACTTAAAGTGGTTGTAAACCTCAGGCATGAAATATGAACAAAGCATATCCCTATATAGCGGGTCAATCGTGGGGAGCCAACAGGTGGATCGAGGCCACGGCTCTACCTCCACTCAGCCTCCACCACTCTCATGTTAGCTGCAGAGTGGAAAGTGGGAGTCAGTATAGTGTTGGATGGAGGGCAGGAGCTGCCTCAGTGATTGTGAGGGGAATTTAAAGTTTTAACTTTGGCAAAATTCTAGTTGCAGCAAAACTGGTAACTTCACAAAAAAATTAATTTTGCCAAAATCACTCCACTGATCCCTCAAAGTTACCTTGTCCTTCATCAAAGGGATGACCTCGTCAAAACTACTTAAACTGACCTGTGCTTAAAGTTAAGAGTTGTGTTAAAGTACAATTTTAGTTTTTCAAAAAATAAAAGACATAGACAAAAAAAACAAGTAATTCCCCCCCCCCCCCCCCTTAAAGCTCCTAACTCCTATTCTGCCCCTCCTTTCCCTTTTTTTACTTACCTGATTTCTGGTGCTCACAAATAATTTTCTTTATCCCTGTGATGTTTATATTCTCAGCTTCAGGGCTCAGAGGCAAGATCCTACATCACTCCTACTAGCTCTACACTACACCCTGTTCCAAATTATTATGCAAATGATATTTTTTCTCATTTACCTAAATAATTGATGTAAATAACAGTCAGTATAATTCTCATGTTATCAACTATTAAGAGTACAATTCACATTTTATTGAACAAACCTCCTAATGATAACAGGATTTTTTTAAACATAAAACACTTACAATGCCTATTCCAAATTATTACACACAGTAAGTTTCAAAACACTTTATAGGTTGTAAAGAACTGAAAATTGTCATTTGTTGTGTTTGCAGCATATTTACTGAAATCAAAAGCTATTTCAATCAAACTTTTAACAACATTTTAACTTTTTAAACATTTTAACAGGTCACGTTACATTGTAACATAGGACCCCTTATTTGATAGCAGCTTCACAAGTCTTGCATCCATTGAACTTGTGAGTTTTTTGGACAGTTTCTGCTTGAATTTGTTTGCAAGATGTCAGAATAGCCTCCCAGAGCTGCTGTTTGGATGTAAACTGCCTCCCACCCTCATAGATCTTATGCTTGAGGATGCTCCAAAGGTTCTCAATAGAATTGATGTCAGGGGAGGATGGAGGCCACACCATGACTTTCTCTCCTTTTATCCCTATAGCAGCCATTGATGCAGAGGTATTCTTTGCAGCATGAGATGGTGCATTGTCATGCATGAAGATGATTGTATTACGGAAAGCATAGTTCTTCCTTCTATACCAGGGAAGAAAGTGGTCAGTCATAAACTCCACATACTTTGCAGAGGTCATTTTTACACCTTCGGGGACCCTAAAGGGGCCGACAAGCTCTGTTCCCATGATTCCGGCCCAAAACATGACTCCACCACCGCCTTGCTGACATCGCAGCCTTGTTGGAACAGGGTGGCCGTCCACCAACCATCCACTACTCCATCCATCTGGACCATCCAGGGTTTCACGGCACTTATCAGTGAACAGGACTGTTTGAAAATGAGTCTTCATGTATTTTTCTGCCCAATGCAGCCATTTCTGCTTTTGAGCATTGGTTATTGGTGGCCGAATAGAAGGTTTATGCACAGTTGCAAGACTCTGGAGGACTCTACACCTTGATGTCCGTGGGACTCCAGAGGCACCAGCAGCTTCAAATATCTGTTTGCTGCTATGTAATGGTATTTAAGCAGCTGCCCTCTTGATCCGATGCATGGATCTGGCAGAAATCTTCCTCAATGTGCCTTTATCTGCACGAACCCGCCTGTGCTCTGAATCAGCCACAAATCTCTTAATAGTGCGATGATCACGCTTAAGTTTTCGTGAAATATCTAATGTTTTCATACCTCGTCCAAGGCATTGAACTATTTCACTCTTTTTGGCAGCAGAGAGATCCTTTTTCTTCCCCATATTGCTTGAAAATGGTGCTCTGCTTAATAATGTGGAACACCCTTCTTTAGTAGTTTTTCATTAAATTGGGCTCACCGGCCAATCTAATTATCACAGGTGTCCGAGATTGTTTTCAGTGATCAAAAGAGCCCTGACACACAATGCCATCCATGAGTTAAACTGAAAAACAAAATATTTTATCTTTGTGACACCTAAATAGAATTTGCATAATCATTTGGAACGCGGTGTAATGGCTCAGCAGCTGTACAGGTTGACAACGCTGCAGTGACTTCAATCCAAGGGAATCATCGTTTTCTCCCTGTTGGAGGAAGTACCTCTCTCTAGCAGGATCTCAAGGTATTTATCATATTAAAAAAAAGAGTTAAATGTCATAAAAATATGCAGTTTGATTAGGATTATATGGATGCTTAACATGCTGTCATTTTTCCATTCTTATACACACTGGGACTAATTTAGTAAAGGCAATTAGGCTGTTTACTTTGCAAGGGAATTTTTCCTTTAGCTTCGTGAACCTCTGCCGACCTCCATCTTCCAATCATATGAAACCAAAAGTACTGTTCTTATTCTTCTTCTTATTATTATTATTATTATTATTATTATTATTATTAATAATAATACTTTTCTTTTTAATTTCCATGACTGGATATTCTTTGCAAAGTGAATTTTCACCACATTCACTAAACTAAGGGAAAATTCCCTTGCAAAGTGAACAGCACATTTGTCTTTGAGAGAGCATAACTGCAGCAATAAATCAGAACATGCAGTAACTGCTATAAATGTAAACATCTACAAGACTTTGGATACTGTTAATGCGTATTCCAAAGCCGGGTCGGGGTACATGGGGTTGAGTAGTTGACTTCAGGCAACGTTTTACATCTGACTCTTAAGCTGAGTAAGACTCAAAAAAATAAACAATGCTAAGTAAGGGAGCCAATACACATACTTTACTAGTATCAGAAGGTCTGCTTATGTTGCTGCCACCTCCCCCCCCCCCCATCCCCAAAATAAAAAATATGCACACTGAAAGCTATAAAAAAAAATTGCAGTAAAAACAAAATGAATTTATTTTACACCTTGACTTCTGGTACTCCCTGGGCAAGGTTGATGTTACTGGACCTTCTCACGGGATCACAGGAAAGCTGAGATCCAAAATCCTACAACAATGTGCTTGTGCTCTGTACTGGAGTGTCTAGTCACAAGCAGGGGCGGATTGACCCATTGGAAACTCGGGCACTGCCCAAGGGCCCGGGGTCAGTAGGGGGCCCCATGAGATGCCCCTGGTACCTTTTTCATAGGCTTTTTTCAGTTTGGGCAAGGACACAGGGGCCCCATGATCCCCTATTGCCCGGGGGCCCCATGAGTTGTCAGTCCGCCCCTGGTCACAAGTTTTAAGATCCAGGGCTTTCCCAGAATCCCATGGTTCCTACAGTTATTAGATAGAGTGTAAAGTAGTATATTTTTACATTTTGTTTACATTTTTGTCAAAGGTGAGTTTTAATTTTTTTCTGTTTTCCTGTCTTTTTTTTTTTTGAGGATGGGGGCTGCAAAATTAGCAAATTAATCTTCAGAAAACATATTGTTTTAAAAATGTATATATTTCCACAATATATTTATCTTTGAATGATTGTAAAAGAATATCATTTATGTGTAGTGGCCTATTTTTTTATGACCATGATGTATGTTTACATTATTTGCGCAGTCTTTGCATTTGACCAGCTTTCTACTAACCTATCTATGAGTTCCAATAGCATCAACTTGATACAGCCATCTTTTTCAATTATATTTTCATGCCATAAAACTCCAACGATATTGCATTGCAACTCTAGAAAAACAAAGGAAGACAAGTGAAATTGCGCTTCCCTTGTTTAGCGTGATATTATAAAGAACGAACGTCTGCTATGTATTGTCGTTTTAATAATTTTAAAACACAGAAACATAGAATTTGACAGCAAATAATAAACAGTCTGCCCATTTCATTTTATCAAACACAGCTATCTAATATTCCTCGTAAAAACAGGGGGAAATCTAGAAGATGATTTAAAACCCACATAAAAATGCCAAATAGAAAAACAAAACCTTAAAAAAAGAAAGTTAAATAGTTAATTTCTTCATAGTAAATATGCAAACAACTTTTTTTTTTTTCCTAAATGTATGCTACGTTAAAGTTTAACGCCTCCGACCTCCATAAATTTCAGTTTACAGCGACCCTATTAGGTTTTAAAAAAATCAAGATTTAAGGCCACCGAAATAGAAAAGCAATTTATTCTCACCTCTTCACTGGCCCATGTCTTACCTTCCCTTCATTCCAGCACTGCAGCTTCTGTAACTCTTTTGCATTTGACACTTCTGGGAGTGTCAGATACTTCATACTTTGACTCCTACATCACTATTCTACTTAGCAATGGCAAAAAGGGTTGGAGAATGGAACCATAGCAAGAAGCATGGGACACAATTATCTAACACTCCCAAAAGTCAACAATTAACACTGCAGGACACTCCTGTGAGAATGGTTAATTATTTAACCTAGTTTAAACTAGGTTTCCCATCTATAAACAGCAGCCCTGAATGGTGTGTCCAGAAGATACTTGTTTACAGAAATACAAGATGAAAATCTAGAACAAGGAGCCTGTAGGTCATGATGCTTGAGACAAGACTTAATTTCAATAGAAGTAACCCATCGTATGGGCATTTACAATACGTTGTAGGGATATGCACAAATCCATATTTGATAGTAAAAACACAGATACAGTTTAAAAGGGATTATATATTATAAAATAATATAAAAGGAACTTTAAGTATTACCAGAGCAACTGTCTTTGTATAATCTTCCAACAATCCCTTAAGAAGCAGAAATTACCCTAAGAGTAGAAGGTAGGATTATGAGCCAGTAATTTGCAGTATGCTGTATGTTAATACAGGGATTAAAGGGTTTAGGGGAACTTCCACAAGCATATGGAAATCTGGACTGAGCAGGAGGCTCTTGAACTTAGAGACTGACCTGTGAGTTTTGAAGGAGCTGAGACTTGCTGTTGAGCAGGAGCATGGTTCAACCTGACAAATGGGGGTTTATTTACTAAAGCTGGAGAGTCCAAAATCAGACTCCCTTCTGCATAGAAACCAATCAGCTTCTAACCTCAGCTTGTTCAATGAAGCTTTGGCAATGAAACCTGGAAGCTGATTGGTTTCTATGCAGAAGTGAGTCTGATTTTGGACTCTCCAGCTTTAGTAAATAAACCCCATGTTGTCTAAGTATTAATAAAATGGGCATGGATGTACCAGTATTCTTCTGAAGTCCTATCCTATAACAACTGTGGTTGAGCAGGAAAACCTCCTCTGGTATGCCAAGTAAAGAGGTGCTCTTTTCAGACTGTGCAAAAAGATGAAAGATCTATGTTCCATGCAGCCAGGATCTATGCATTAGCCCTAAAAATACAGTAGAGCAGCTCATAGAAGGAGTTGCAAGAGGGAAACCCCTCTTATTGCGATGTCAGCCCAAAGAACTGTCAGTCAATTGCCAACCTATTTTGTGTGTTAGAGTGCATCATCCTTCTGACTTGGCATTTCATAAGAGTCCAGGTAAAACATTCCCACTGGGCTTCTGCAATTTATCAAATACACATATCTCAAGATACACAATGTTCACGCAAAAGAGACAGGGAAGACTTGGAGTCCCTAACTACCTCAAATATTTCACACGTACAAATCATCCCATTGATCTCCTTATATACTTCACAACAAGTCCTATTATGGGTTAACCTGAAAATGTTTTGTTGCTTGCACGTTTCCCTCTGTACACTGCCTTGGTTTCCCTCTAAATCCAGGCAAACTTCCATGAGCCCTCTAATGCAACATATACTCTATATCTGGGACATTACAAAGTTCTTTAATATACTAAGCTCATCAGTCCAATGTTCTCCCTGGGACTGGAACCTCCTAATGCCACCATACTCGGCATCAAATTTCTTACAAGCCAACTCTCAGTTTTTGAACACGTCTGCTATCATACGCCTCTCTCTCCCAAACTGATATCCATTATTTATTCACAACTAAATAACTCTACTAACCAGGAAAACCACAGTTACATTTCTAAATAGGAGACAGACATTTGGTGCACTAAAGACAGGGAAGATTGGCTACAAATTTTGTCTACAATGGCCTCCTACTCTATTATACCACAACTGGATCTGCATTCAAGACTATTGCACGATTTTACATAGTCCTGTCCTGATTAGTGCTTCTTCACTCATTTCTTTCTGGCACACATTGTTTCTGCTGTTGCGCCTTGGTCTACATATATGGTGCACTTGTCCAATGCTTGCTTGCTCTAGACCAAATTTCCCAAACCCCTGCTATCTCTGTTTAATCGCCCTTTTCCTAGAGATTGCTGGTAGGTCTACCAAACTAGTGACCTATAATCTATTAGCACCAAAGCAGACTATAGCAAAAGCTTGGTAGAAACAAATCGCCTATTTTGCGGAAGTTCCCCAATGTGTCAACGCCTTTTTCATTAATGAAAAACCCACAATTGTTCACCCCCCTATTTCACTTCTTTCTACTCCCTTTTGGTACCTCTTTACACCATCGTTCCATGGAGGTTTTCTTACCTTTCTTCTAGCTTCCATCTTGAAGCAGACTCAACTGTGCAACTGGATTTAGTAGTTCATCCAAGTGAGAATCTTGCTAGTAACCTGAATCCTTGTAAGATAACTATGAACCATCTCTGTTTCACTAGTTAAATATTGTAAACACCTACAGGCTTTTGGCATACTCATATATGGAATTCTATGAATGGTGGCTACAGTTCCAAAAACCAATAATATCTTGCTAATATCCACATGTTTTTTCATGTTATGAATTGCACTTCACTTTGAAATATTTTAATAAAAATGTATTGAAAATAAGAAATTCCCACTAGGCTGTGTGAGTAGCTGATGGGACTCTCTACCTGTGAGAGGGGGACAAAGGGGGTTAACAGAACTGATCAGCAATTGGGGTGATGGGGGGGGGGGTAATAGCAATGCAGGGGGGGATGCTAACAACATGGATCACCAATACAAGCTTTGGGGGATGGGGTTAACAACACTGATTAGCAAAGCAAGTTGTAGGGGATAGAGGGTTAACAGCACTGAGCAGTAATGAAAAGTTAGAGGATGAGGGAGTTAACAGCAATGCCCAGCAATGCAGGGATTTTGAGTGAAGCGGTAAACAGCTCTGACCAGCTTTCCATGGTTCCCCATGATTGCTTGTGTATGGTGGCTTGACGTTATGGCCCACCCACAGTATATGTTTGCTCCAAGCAGGAACAGGTTAACAAGCTATGCTTGGATTCTTTAACTTGCAGTGCTGGGGAACATTTTCTTAGGTGCCCTGCCTGTGTGCACAAATGTGTATACCCCAAACCCTCAACAAATTATAGATGTCTAGCTATTCAACTGTCAACACCTTAGCTACTTTTTTTTCTATTAACCATTTCAATACCGGGCAATTTTACACCTTCCTTCCCAGGCCAGTTTTCACTTTTCAGCGCTCTCACACTTTGAATGACAATTGCGCGGTCATACAACATTGTACCCAAACTAAAATTTTATCATTTTTTTCACACAACTAGAGCTTTCTTTTGTTGGTATTTAATCACCGCTGGAGTTTTTATTTTTTGCTAAATTAACAAAAAAAGACCAAAAATGTTGAAAAAAACCCACATTTTTCTTTCTTTTAATAAATAATTTGCGCTAGTAAATATATATAAATATATGTAAAGAAATCATCAAATCATAAGTCCAGAAAAATATATATATATACCAATACCACAGAAAAATATAAAAAACTTTTTAGGTGCAAAAAAAAAACTTTTGTGCAAAAGGAGTGTCTCAATATAAAAAAAGTGTCTCAATATAAAAAAATTTCACCAAAAAACCTTGATAATATAATGGCAGATCATCCATAAAAATATCTTCAGAAACGGAAGCTGGGACACCTCTTGAGTAAGTGCAATGAGTATCTAATAAAGGAATGGTTTTTTATAATATTGCACCATGAAGTCTTTCTGTTTCTCTCGAGTGCTTGGCATTTCCCCCCATGGATACGTTTGAAGGTGGTCCTTTTTCTATTGGAGAAGTGGATTTTCGATTAACTACAAAGTTTTTCGTCCTGTTATTTCGATCGATGAGGATCGGTGTGTTGGAGAGCTTCCGTTTCTGAAGATATTTTTATGGATGATCTGCCATTATATTATCAAGGTTTTTTGGTGAAATTTTTTTATATTGAGACACTTTTTTTATATTGAGACACTCCTTTTGCACAAAAGTTTTTTTTGCACCTAAAAAGTTTTTTATATTTTTCTGTGGTATTGGTATATATATATTTTTCTGGACTTATGATTTGATGATTTCTTTACATATATTTATATATATTTACTAGCGCAAATTATT